GACGTGGCCGGCGCCGGGCGGGGCCAGCGCGGGGGGCGGGGCCGGGCGCGGCGATGGCGGCGGCTCCGCGCTGGCGGGAGCGGCTCTTCGCCCTCTATTTCCTCTCGCACATCCCGATCACGGCGCTCATCGACCTCCAGCCGCTGCTGCCCGCCGGGATCGCGCCGCGGGCCGTGAGTGGGGCCGGGGCTCGTTCCGCGAATGCGTGCGGGGCGTCCGCCGGTTTGGCGGGGCCGGGGGCGGCCTTCGCCGGATCTCGTGTGTGGGGACACCGCGGGGGGGAGAGAAACTGCAGCGAACGCGTGAAAGAGAGTCTGGGAGCGAAGCGGTGCTGGGGCCCACGGGATGAGTCACAGCCGGGTCATTCACTGGGGAGGAGCGGGAACGGGAGAGGGAATGGGAATGGCAGGGGGAATGGGAATGGGAATGGAGAGGGAATGGGAATGGCAGGGGGAATGGGAATGGGAATGGCAGGGGGGATGGAATGGCAGGGGGAATGGGAATGGGAATGGCAGGGGGAATGGGAATGGCAGGGGGATGCTCCACCCGCGCGTCCCGCGGCTGTGGCTGCCGCTGCTGCCGGAGCTGTGGCGGGGATGTCGCGGCCGCTCCGTGTCCCCGTCCCACCGAGGCCCCCGGGGAACTGCTGCGGGTCACTGCTGCCGCCGGGAACGGGCGGTGGGGATGTTCCACAGCTGCCCCAGGACATCCTTTCCTGGAATGGCCTCGCTGTCCCGCTGTCGCCCCCGGGCCGGCGGCTGCGGCAGCGCGGGGCCGGCGCCACGTGCCCCGGACGTGGCTCCTGCGGCCCCGGGCATTCTCCGATCCCGGGTTTTCCTCAAATTCCTGCCAAAAATGCTACAGGGAATGTTGCCGCTGCAGGAGCAGGCATGCCAAATTTACGATTTGATTCGTAAAAATCTCGGGTTTGCTGGGTTTTGAACAAAATCATAGAAGACAATGAACATCACGAAATCAATTAAAATAACAGTTGTATGGCAGATAATTAGTTCAGCCCTCATCATCAGGGTGTGGTGAGCTGTCACCTCCTGTTTGGGCTTTACAACTGGTGATTTGGTTTTTGCCATCGGAGCTGCCTGTAGGATTACTCCAGTATAGGAACCATTTCCAATTAATAGTTAACCAGCAGATCTCAATGCATATCTCTCTGTTCAAAGTCCAACGTAAAGCCGTGCTGGAGTTGACATTTCTGTCAGAAACCAATTGCAACTGCCCGAGCCCAGATCCTGGTGCTGAGCTGTGCCCCTGCAGCAGCCCCGGGAAGGACCAGGGGCTCACACCCTGCTGGCTTCATCCCACGGAGAGCCACGAGCTGTGCCCTGCTCTGGCGGATGCTCGGTGACTGACTGTTGTTTTGGGTTTTTTCAGCTGACAGACCTGCTGCAGCAGTATGCAACTGCCTTCAGGGACCCCCTGATGCTGCAGCCCCCTGAGTGGTTCAAGGCGTTCATCTACTGCGAAGCCTTTCTCCAGCTGCCCTTCTTCCCCATCGCTGCCTACGCCTTCCTGAAAGGTGGGGGGAGACCAGGGTGACTGAGGGCATGTCCTGGGGGCATTTTTGCAGGACAGCTGCTGCTGTGCAGCAGAGAAGGTTTCTGTGTCATGATTAGGGGGTTTGAGGGAGGTGCTGCCGAGGGCTGGGCTGCCAGGGCCCACACGAGTGTTCTACCTGAGAAAGTAGCACGGAATAAAGTTAGTCAGAAACAAAACCTACAGGCCCTTGTCAGGTGCAGCCATTTGTGGAACCACCATCAGCTTTTGACATCTGGCTAATTTCCAGGGCAGCTAAAGGTCTGGGTCAAGCCTGTGTACTCATTTTGTTACTTTAGAACTTTCAGGATCACCCCTTTGCCGGGCGGGGCCAGCGCGGGGGGCGGGGCCGGGCGCGGCGATGGCGGCGGCTCCGCGCTGGCGGGAGCGGCTCTTCGCCCTCTATTTCCTCTCGCACATCCCGATCACGGCGCTCATCGACCTCCAGCCGCTGCTGCCCGCCGGGATCGCGCCGCGGGCCGTGAGTGGGGCCGGGGCTCGGGCCGGGGCTCGTTCCGCGAATGCGTGCGGGGCATCCGCCGGTTTGGCGGGGCCGGGGGCGGCCTTCGCCGGATCTCGTGTGTGGGGACACCGCGGGGGGGAGAGAAACTGCAGCGAACGCGTGAAAGAGAGTCTGGGAGCGAAGCGGTGCTGGGGCCCACGGGATGAGTCACAGCCGGGTCATTCACTGGGGAGGAGCGGGAACGGGAGAGGGAATGGGAATGGCAGGGGGATGCTCCACCCGCGCGTCCCGCGGCTGTGGCTGCCGCTGCTGCCGGAGCTGTGGCGGGGATGTCGCGGCCGCTCCGTGTCCCCGTCCCACCGAGGCCCCCGGGGAACTGGTGCGGGTCACTGCTGCCGCCGGGAACGGGCGGTGGGGATGTTCCACAGCTGCCCCAGGACATCCTTTCCTGGAATGGCCTCGCTGTCCCGCTGTCGCCCCCGGGCCGGCGGCTGCGGCAGCGCGGGGCCGGCGCCACGTGCCCCGGACGTGGCTCCTGCGGCCCCGGGCATTCTCCGATCCCGGGTTTTCCTCAAATTCCTGCCAAAAATGCTACAGGGAATGTTGCCGCTGCAGGAGCAGGCATGCCAAATTTACGATTTGATTCGTAAAAATCTCGGGTTTGCTGGGTTTTGAACAAAATCATAGAAGACAATGAACATCACGAAATCAATTAAAATAACAGTTGTATGGCAGATAATTAGTTCAGCCCTCATCATCAGGGTGTGGTGAGCTGTCACCTCCTGTTTGGGCTTTACAACTGGTGATTTGGTTTTTGCCATCGGAGCTGCCTGTAGGATTACTCCAGTATAGGAACCATTTCCAATTAATAGTTAACCAGCAGATCTCAATGCATATCTCTCTGTTCAAAGTCCAACGTAAAGCCGTGCTGGAGTTGACATTTCTGTCAGAAACCAATTGCAACTGCCCGAGCCCGGATCCTGGTGCTGAGCTGTGCCCCTGCAGCAGCCCCGGGAAGGACCAGGGGCTCACACCCTGCTGGCTTCATCCCACGGAGAGCCACGAGCTGTGCCCTGCTCTGGCGGATGCTCGGTGACTGACTGTTGTTTTGGGTTTTTTCAGCTGACAGACCTGCTGCAGCAGTATGCAACTGCCTTCAGGGACCCCCTGATGCTGCAGCCCCCTGAGTGGTTCAAGGCGTTCATCTACTGCGAAGCCTTTCTCCAGCTGCCCTTCTTCCCCATCGCTGCCTACGCCTTCCTGAAAGGTGGGGGGAGACCAGGGTGACTGAGGGCATGTCCTGGGGGCATTTTTGCAGGACAGCTGCTGCTGTGCAGCAGAGAAGGTTTCTGTGTCATGATTAGGGGGTTTGAGGGAGGTGCTGCCGAGGGCTGGGCTGCCAGGGCCCACACGAGTGTTCTACCTGAGAAAGTAGCACGGAATAAAGTTAGTCAGAAACAAAACCTACAGGCCCTTGTCAGGTGCAGCCATTTGTGGAACCACCATCAGCTTTTGACATCTGGCTAATTTCCAGGGCAGCTAAAGGTCTGGGTCAAGCCTGTGTACTCATTTTGTTACTTTAGAACTTTCAGGATCACCCCTTTGTTCTAAATTGCCATTGGGGAGAGAAATTTCCTTGATTCCTACTGTTACTGAGGGTTTTTTCTGCTCCCTATTCCATCTGAGTGATGGCTAAGCCTGGCAGAGGGGCAGCAGTCAGTGTCCTGTCACTCAGAATTCTGGTTGTTTCAAAACACTTAAATATTGTTTCCTTTTTGCTTCTGTGCAGGTGGCTGCAGATGGATCAGGACTCCTGCCATTATCTACTCCACCCACGTGGCCACCACTCTGTTTGCCATCCTGGCCCACATCCTGTTCCACGACTTCTCCAGGTCGGAGCACGCGGGCCCTCAGACGCTGCGCGAGCGCCTGGTGCTGCTCTCCATCTACCTGCCGTACCTGCTGATCCCACTGCTGCTGCTGTTCACCATGCTCTGCAACCCCCACTACAAACACGTGGAGAAGAGGAAAAGGAAGTAGCCGGCTCTGGAGGTCGGACACACCACGCCTGTGCTGCATTTGGTTCCGACCCTGCGCTGGCGGAGTCCTCTGTGACAAACGTCTCCCTCGTGCTGGCTGCAGCGGCTCTTCCCAGAGCACTGGCTGCTGCAAGGAAAAATTGGAATTGGTTGGAGTGCACAGCCCTGCTTCGACCACACACAGCTCTGGCAGGGGCCTGGGGTCAGGTCTGTGCAAGGCCTGTCTCCCAGGAAATTTAAGCCTTTGATGTGTAACTGTGAGGGGACAGACACACACACACTCACTCACACTCTGCAGCTGATACTGTTCTTCCAAGGTCCCTTTTCCCAAGATGACTGTTTGGAAACCACTCAAGTAGGAAATCTGTCTTCCAACCACATATTCAAGAATCCCCAGCCCATTAAACACAGATTTGCAAAGCTGTTCTTTTGAAGCATTTCAAATCATATCATGATTCTTAACTTCCTTGCCCCTTCCTTTAAAATTTCCACTGCCTTTGCTCTGCTTCACTTTGATTAATTATAAATGTCTGATCAATGATAAATGTGCCAAAATCTGGATTCATGAATGCTTAAAGTTACCCTTGACAACCAGGAGTACTGCCCAGAGGATTCTGAAGTACTTTGGGAATTGTAACCAAGGAGTTGGAAATTTCTTTCTTCCCTAAAATCATTTCTGGTATGGAAATAAATAACTAAACGCATTAAACTGCATTCAGTCTTCTTCAGGGAATGGCTGAAGGAACTTACAGTGACCACGAGATGGTGGAGAGTTCCCAGAGTAAATCCATGCATAAGTTACAACTACAGACAGAAGTTGGGGTTGGGGTTGGTTTTCATCTGGAGCCTGGTGAGGTGACGGGCACCATGGAGCTGCTCAGGCACTGCTGGCACACTTTATTCACTGTGGAAAGTTGAAGCCTTCCCCAGGCTTTGGAAAGGGCAGCATTTCCATACTGAAGTGCTATAGACATACACAAAATGCATCTATTTGCACTTCCAACATGAGGCTTGAGTTCACACTTGTGTTTGTGGTTCACAGTTTGTGCACCCCTGGTGTCACTGACACTTGGAATGGTTTCCCTCATCAGTCTGGTGTTTCAACCCTAATAGTGCCCATAAAAGGATTCAGCTCTCATATTAACACAGTCCTGAATGGACATTCCTCAGGAACAGTTCAAAGTTCTTAATTCTCATGTAGTTTATGCTTTTTTTTGAATCTGTAATTGGTCCATTCTGGAAATCATACATTTCTGTCTTTTTTTTTTATAATTCCATAGAAAAAGTAACATAGGCAGATATAGATCCAATACTGCTGCTTGTGTGTAAACCTTTACACTGAAAAATAACAGAGGAGGAGCAACTAATTCTGGTACAGCCAGACAGTCTGAGAACAAGAATTTATTTTCTGATATCTATGAAAGAGCTGTAGACTTCAAAAAGCGACACAACAAAGCACCAGTAGCATTAATTCAACTGTAATTTGAATTAGAACTACTGATTGTACAAAACTGGTATAAAATCAAAGGCCAGAACAGCCTGTGCAGCTGTGAGCTGTCAGCCCTTCTTATTGCCATGGTACGCTCAAACCGAGGTACAGCCCCCCATTGTACCAACCATCTGCACTCCTGCACAGTGGAAATTGCATATTTCTGAAATTCTCGAGATTCTGGAATGGTCAAGTATCCACGTGAGTTGGTTTTTATCTTAAAATCCTCTACTTCTGGAAGATGAACTGGTCGATGAATTCGTTCTGGTCCGCTTCGATTTTGCAGAGAGTCTCATACTCGATCCGGTACCTGCGAGACAAACAGAGGGTCCAGGAGCCCACCTGTGAGAGGTGGGTCAGGAGGGGAGCTGGGCTACCTGTGTGGGCAGCTGGGCTACCTGTGAGTCACCTGTGAGTCACACAGAGCAGCTCTTTATCAGCCGCACACGAGGCTGGTGCAGGTGTCAGAGTTCTGCACTGCCCTGGCCCGTGCTGCCTCTGTTCAGCCCTGGAGTCCTCAGGGATGAACTTTCTTTGGTTCCCTGAAGGTAACTCCAGGCCTGTGGCATTGTTCCCATGTGCTCTGGCCAGGACACACCTCTGATGCAGGTGGGGCTGTCTGAACCAGCCAAGGGTCCCACACACAGGCAGTCAGCCCTGTGCCCACCCTGAGCCTTCCCAGCCTGCACAACGCTGAACACAAAACTCACCTTTCCAGCTGCATCTTTTTCTCAGCTATCAAAGCCTGGAGCTGCTGCTCCTGAGCCTCTCTCTGCTTTGCAATCGACTTCAGCAGGTTCCGTGCCGCGAAGGGCGGGTTCCGCTGTGCCCCGGTACCCTCGGGTTCCCCGGCTCCCCCAGAGCCGTTCGGGTCGCTCCTTCTCCCGGCCGTGCGGAGCCGGGGCGGGTCCCGTCGCGGGGCCTTTGTTCCGCAGCCCGCCGTGCCTCCCACGCGGACGGGAAGGGATGTGGGGAGTTTTCGTTCGTGTCAAAAGCGGTAATTAAAGGTCTCGTGGCTGTTTACAGCAGAGGCTCACAGCTCCTGGGTTGCGCTGGCTGGGCAGGGGCTTTAGCCCTGCTTTGCTCGTGTTTGCTTCGTTCTTCGGTCAGAGCAGTGAGAAACTGCCTGGAGGGACGGCACTGACCGCGAACTCTTCTGAGGAGCTCGGTGGGACAGGCTGGATTCCTGACTCCTCACAGGTTCGGTCTGCCTGCTGTTATAAACATGCCACTGTTCTAAAAAGGGGGTTTTGAGGGTTCAAAGCAAGGCAGGGCATCAGTGACAGTGGTGTATGGGGTGGGGAGTCTTGTT